TTTTATTATTATTATTATTATTATTATTACCTGGTATAAGAGCTAAATATATTAGCTAATATACTTATAAATAAATAAGGGCTATAACTTATATTTATTAATATATTATATATTAAAACTATTTTAATAATAATTTATATAATTATTACTAAAGTGGCCTAGTATAATAATATACTTTATAAATAGCTTATAACCTTAGGTATAATACCCGTAAATTAAATTATTTTTAATAAGTATATTAATATATTATTTAATAGTAGCTTTTTAGTTAATAAGGCAGGCTGTAATTTTTTTTATTATATTAGCTTTATTAATAGGCTTGTAAAGTGCAAGCTTGTGCTATAAATAATATAATTACTTATAAAGTTTATTTAAAACTACTAATTTATAGCCTAAATAATTTATTATGTTGGTAATATAGGCTGCTAGTAACTAGGTTAGTAAAAAAGTAGGTAAGTAAGTAAAAAAGGCGGTATTATTATTACCTTTAGTATTAACTATTATAATAAAAAAAATTTAAAAAATTAGGGGTTTATAAATTATAGGTTTACATAGGTAGGTTATATATTACTTATATAATTTATTTTTTTATTATTTTTTAAATATATTTATTAAATTTGCTATTATTACAGCTATTAAAAAAAGTATTACTATTTAAAATAGGCTGTTAATAAAAGTGTTAAATATTAAACAGGCTATTAATAATAGTATTTTTAGTATTTTAGGCAAGATAAACTTTGTTCTAGCCTCGCGCATTACTCCCGGCATTAAAGCCTACACCCTAGAAATAACGGGACCTATGTTGGGTAGTTACCGCGAGCTTGGTTGCCGGTAGTTACTGCAGATGATGTGCTGGACTATTGATTATAGTCTTTCCCCGTAAAGAGGGGTTGCTACCTTCTGAGTTTGCCCTGCGCTTTGAAACTTCCCTAGCAAGGGTCCGCGGGGGGATTTCGTCAGGAGTGCCCCGTAGGCCTGGGACTCAGAGTCCCAGAGTCAGAACAGAGTTCATGGAGGTTGTACACCGTACGACTGACGGGGGATTCTTTCGACGGTAAGCGTAAGCCTGAGCCTTGGAGGCATCGCGTTCCACAGCTATGATTGGGCATGGCATGTCATCTCCAGCGGCTAAGCCTGACCCTGCGCAAATCGCAATACCGGTCTGCCTGCATCTGCCATCTCGATTCTCGCAGCTTGCAGGAATAGGATGGCAGCGCAGGACGGGTGCACGCTGCAGACACAGTTTCACATCCTGCAAGCAACCCTAGCTCCTGATTAGTCCGACTGCTGAAGCGCGCGCTCAGCCTAACCTCTTACCGATCACCTGCCCACTAATCCTGGATCGAGAGCGTCCGATCCAAGAATCCTTCGCTGAATCGCCAAGGCAACTCCAGGCCCTCAACGTGAACCGTGAACCTGTCAGTCTAATCTCCAAGCTAGTCTCACTCCTAGACTGAGCTAGCAGCGGCTAGATACAGTACAGGATGTGATGTGAGTCTGACCGTCATGGTAGATCACATTGACGAATAGGACACGAATGCTATCGAGCTCTGAGCTCTCTCTCTGTTGGGCTCTTCCCGACTGCTTCGTCTCTGGACAGGCTGCAAATTAAATAGTGCAGTCGATCAGCAATCACCGGCTACCTATGTATGGATGGAGAATAGTCTCATACTGGGTACCTATACCTCAGTACAAAGAGACGATGATCACTGTAGCCAAGAGCGAGGCCAGCGGAAATGCAAATCCGGCATCGTCGAATTCTTTGTACAGAGGATCTATAAGCTCGCGCTAGTACATAGTTACTCCGACAAGGTGCGATCCCGGGGACTTGGTAGTGGTGCTGGGCGTGGCTAAAACTTTGGAGATCTCATGGAGGCGCAAGCCGTAGGCTTAACTCAGTTCAAGCCAGAGTCGGACTATTGATTCACTAACCACCACTAACAAACGGGTAAATCTGACGCTGAAAAGACGCACGCAAAAGCCCCATCGCGATACTGGATGCGCTTCGAAGAGAAATAATTGGCAATTTTTAGTATCGTACACGCTCCCCTTCCATTTCAAACTTGCAATCGAGTCCAATTCGTTGACTCCATGAATAGTATACTAGCAGCTGTTAAAATAAAGATATGCCGTTTTCCGTTTTTGGGACCCGTAGACTACACGGCACGACTTGAAAGGTACATACTCCGTCGGTACGTGCCTCGCCGAGTTGTGGGCCTGAACTTCCAGTTTCATCCGCATCGAGCTCACCGATGGGCTCGAACGTGAATCTGAAACATAGACCAGACCCGCTCTTGCAAACATGCATGAGCCCCGTTTTGTAACATGGATAGAGCGAAGTATACGACGGGACGGTGTCCTCATTCGTTGCCACTTGACTCCGCGCCAACGTCAAGAAGTTTGGAGTAGTTGCTAATCTTGCGTCTCTTTCTTCGCGCGCTGCGCCGGAGGCCCTCACTCTCGCGCTCTTGGTCTGTGGTTGGGGACTGTGATGGGGTGACAGGACGGGGCTCCGGACCGTTCTGGGAAGACCTGGTTCTCTTGCGAGTCGATATTGGTGTGTCTTTGTTGACGGGCTGCGGCGTAAGGAGGGTCTGGTTGGCCTCGCTCCGGCGACGGCGGTCTGCAATGACACTATGGGCGTTGGATGATCTTGTCCGACGCTGAGAGCTGGAAGCTTGAGGTGATGAGCCTTTAGATTTGTCTTGAGCCTCGTTCGCTCGTTGGTCGCCTGATCTGTTGCTTCTTCTTAGTACGACACTGACTTGAGAAGCTGACTTGCTCAGGCCGTTGGCTTGGCTAGTGGACGGCGGACTGAGCTCCTCGACGGAGCTAGGGACATATTCTATGGTGTACTACAGAATTTTAGCACACGCCATTGACGTCCAGGCAACTGATTAGACTTACATGATGCTGAATTTTCGACATGGGGTTCATGATGTCCTCTTCAATAGTTTGCCGCACACTCTCTTTGTCAGGAACGCGGTACGGTGGCAGGCCTCTGCGTACGCTCTCCTTAGGCGTGTATCCGGGAATAGGTTGGAAAATTCCCTTCCTTTTCAGGAACTCTTTTAGTCGGGAAACCGCTTTGTCGCTGCAGTCTGTACAGGGTTAGGGAGCCGTCACGCAAACAATATTCTGTGCTACTTACGGAGTTTCTGCCCGAAGACTTGGCTAGAAGTTGGAATTCCTTCGTCCGCAATGAGGTTCATCGCCCTTCGAGATAACACCACATTGTTCATGCTCTCGAGTACCTTGCTTTCGTTCGGTTCTAACAGGCAACGGTAACAAGCGTGGACATCAGAGACTGCAAATTTGTGGGCACCGACGTAGCCATAGCAAAGTCGGTGCTGCCGTGTATGGCAGAAACTGCACGTAATCTAAGAGACTTAGCTCGAGTCTAGAACGAAGGGGGGTGTTTTGCGTACCGTGTCTTCCTCTTCTCCATTCCATTCACATTGACATTTAATTTCAAGATGATCCTGAGGCGTCCGGTCTCGGCCATTCATTTTCTTGGATTTAGACTTCTTGCGTATCTCCGCAATCTTCTCTTTCCGAAGAGCAAACTTCTGGCTTTCGCCTGCTGTTTCCGTTTCTTCGGTTTCCATGGTGAGCACCGGCTTAACGGGCTGTGTGGAGATCAAGTCGACGTTTGAGGACTGTACTTCCTGGGACTAATGCGTGAGCTCAGGTCAGCCAACCATCATATAGGCCAAAATCACAGCTGATCTTACAGGCATCATCAACTGCAGCCTTTCTCGTTCAACAACGTCCTGCGTTGCCTCTTGCGAGCTTCCTACTTCGCGACACACGGAAAGTCAGTGAGACATGTACAAAATGAGGTGGCCGAGACAATGATACCTTCGCCTTGGGAGTTCTGCAGCTTGTTCTCTTCATCCTCAAATCCGATATCTTCGCCTCGTGTCACCGCGTCTTTATACTCGATTTGAGAGGGTATCTGTGGTATGGACTCCGATTCCTCAGGCTCTGGTCCAATCCACTTGAGTGAAGTGACTTTGAGGCCGACGCTATGCCAGTTAGTTGTGGCTGGGGACACTGGTCTGATAATACGTACGTGTGCCATCCGCTTTCCATTTTTCCGCAGGCCTGGGATTCTCTCATCCACTGATCTGTCAGCGGATAGTTGATGATATCATCTTTCCCACCACTGAAGCCAGGTGGCTCGTAGTCAGGAGGGCAATCTTCGGTATAGAAGAGGTTGATACCAAGAGCACGTTTGTCTGCGGTTGTTAGCGGCGATTTAGCAACACATACCTCCGGGATTACATACTTGGAAGAGTGGGTAGAAAGGAGCTCAAAGTTATCAAGCGCCTGACGATGCTCTCTAGGCCCACTCTGGCTGTGTGGGCGGTCTTCATGTTAGCCACATAGCCGCATGGCTGTATTGACAAGGTTTCTAGGCGTTTGTTCAAGTCCCCTACTCCTTCAGAATACCTGAATGAGAAGGTATATGACTCTAGCACGTTTTCAGGCGCTTCCTTGTCCGCAATGACAGTGAGTTGGATCGCCTCCAGCACGCTCATGCTAAGAGCATCAAAGATACCAGTTTCCTGGATGCGTCAGTTGGCTGAGCACAGGTTGATGATCAAGAGACACACCAGAACGTTAATGATCATATCGGCTTTCGGTTCCGAGCCACGGACGATGATTTTCAACGGCTGCCCTCGCTTGCCTGTTCCAAACGTGCCATCGGAAGCTCCGTTGGAAACACTGGGGCTGAGGCTATTGTCTATGAACTCGCGATATGAGAACTTCTGCTGCCGTTGGGCCGTCTTGAGATCGCGATCATCAAAACATTGCAGCGGTAAAAACTCTCTGTAGTCCACCATGAATTGTTAGTTCTGGATTAGTAGCGCATCAAAACAAAACAAACCTAAGATAAAACAGAGTTCCGAACTACATATTTCAACCATTAGTATGTGGTGTAGATGAGCGGCGAATTACTCACGGAAACGTGGAGCATGATCTTGACCATCTCCAGACTTTGTTGTTGCTGCAGGGCAAGGCTTTTCTCCGGGCCTAATTTGGCCAGAGCATCTGTCGCTGTTCCTGTTTCAATTGGCGGAGAAGAAGCAGGCGCGCTGCTGTCCGATGGCAGGTTGGCGCGAGGTTGGGCATGCTGTGGCCGGACCGCCGTCGGCGGTTGAGTAAATTTGATTCGGACCATGGCAAGGGAAGGCGTGCGACAGGTCGCAATCGCCAGAGAATTCCCAAATCGCCAGCAATCGAGAGGTGACGGAACTCTTAAGGCAGCGGTTTTAGGATCAGGTAGATGTGGAAGGTTGAGGTTAAGGGAGTGGTGGACTGACGGAAGCTCGGTCACGGGAGTTGAAAATGCAAATGCTGCTGTCGTGGTCGTGTCTCGTCTTGTCAACGCCGCGAACAACGCGACCACGATGATGTCTATTTGACTCCGCCTTTTTTTTTTCGTTCCTGAGCAATTCTGCTAGACTCCTCACTTTGTTTGTTATCGATCCTTGGCAAATGCGCTGTGTTTTCTTCTAAGCTCATGAATTTTCGATCGTTTTTATCCCTTCTCCCTTTGATGAGGGACCCAGCCTTCCACTTTTTGGTTCTTCCATAAGATGTCTCACTCTGTTCTTTGTGAGTTCGCCTTATATCGTCATGGACTCCATTCCAGCTGATGCTTAAAGTTCAACTTGGTTTCAAGATTGATGAATAGCATTTTTTATCGCTAATATCAAATTCATGCAAGTCCATAGTACTAGAAGAAGACAGCACGTGCTTTATATCGAAGATCCGAAATTACTTGATCAGCTATTCTACTTGACCAATGTGTAAGATATATAATTCACGGGCTTTCCTCTGACGATACTATATATAGAAGCGAGCCGCTAAAGAGCTGCCTATGGGCCATGGCCCAGCGAAAGCCAGCTGAAGGACGACGTCTTTTTGACCTCCCTAGCTTACAAGGAATAATATGGCGTGTGAGCTGTGATCCAAAAGGCTTCGTATATTCAAAGGCACCCTAGTTTCCTCAAGGGGTTGGAGGAGCCCACTGCGGACGGACGGTTCAAACCGAAACTTGCTCTTCTTTAAAAACGGCCCTCCTTCTAGCCTTCTAGGCCTTCCCCGCATTTTATTCATTTCTCTATGTACCCTCTGGCAAGGATCACAGTAGTTCTGGATATATCTCGGAAATCATCAAGCATGCAGGTAAGGCTATATGGTCTGCTCAGTCGCATGTCGCATGCTTGTCTCTTGTTGATACTGTCTGCTGAGTACTTTGCAGACTGCAGTCTTCCGGTCTAGCCCTTCAAAATCCTCTCCGCATTATTGGAGACATTGTGAAATGTTAACCCCACCATAACACGTGATTTGAGACATTGCTGATATCTACGGAGTACTTGTTGCAAAAGAACAAGCAAATGTGTAAAGAGTGCACCGGGAAGTTCCATACACTTTGTTGGCATGTCATGACTAGGAGTATGAGATCGCAATTCGCACCTATTCATTATTACCTGCCTTTTAGAGTAATAGCTCGTTCCTTGAATCTCTAGTCAAATGGTATGCGATTAGACCAGGTCCTCGGGAATACATAGACTTGCTTTTCATGTGCTTTGGTGGGATAACTCCCGCCGAGACTGTACCTATCTTGTCAGAAGCCGCGAGACGTTTCATATTGCGGCGGCAACTTCTGAGCTCACATTGTCTGTTACTCAACTGTGGTCCCCACAGGTGGTATACGAAGTATCATATACAGAACTTGTATCCAACCTTTTAAACTGATATTTTCTATTATTAATTGTATATAAATTTGTCGTGGAGTACCTCATTACGGAGCAGATCTGTTGCCGCTCGAGGAGGCGCTAAATCAGGTGACGGTACGGCACGACCGCCCAGCGACCGACCAAGGCGAGACACAACCAACCACCTCCAGCTCCCTCGATTGTCTCCGCCGCCCAACATCCTCCTTGTTCGGCGCACGCCACTGGAGGTTTTCTTTTCCTGTTTCCTCACCAGCTTTTCCAGTTGATTCTCCTGGCTCCTCACCATACACTCTAGTGACGATCATGTTCTAACTATTATTGTTCTTTATTCACCCTGGGCAGTCAGACGGTTTTCAAGACCGTTGTGGAGTATCGTGCTGACAGCCCCCCATCTTGGTCTGCTTTCTACAATAGGCACCTCTACACCACATCTACCAGTCCAGTCTATTTCCTTCTTGCATGACACTCGAATATTGACGTGACGCAAACCACATCTTGAATACAAAATTCATAAGGCTTCATTCCGGCTAAAGACGCGTCTTGGGCTTATCCGGATACCGCAGCCTGAGGGCAACCACTCCACAACAGGATGGACGATAGTGAACCTCAAAGGACCGCTTCCGGCTCCATCGGCCAATTTTCGTTCGCGCCGGCGACGCGAACTACTGTCGTGACCACCACCACTACTACTACGACTACATTTCCTCCCTTATTCATCAAGCCACCACGCGCGGCCCGAGAACTCGACCCCAAGCTATACCCTCTGGCTTCGTCTCCTACACCCTCAGCGTTGAAAAATATCAGGTTTGACGTCGGAGGCAAGTCCGTTGTTTTTAACGAGCCTGATGATACTACGGCGACCATAGAAGAGGTACGAGACTCAACATCTGCCTACAACCGGCGATGGCTTTCTAAACTAATATATGGGATCCAGATCACCGAAAGGAATGATGCTTTGAGGGCCTCCAACGGTGTAATTCGGTCGGTTACCTCTTTTAGCTCTGAAGATAGCCAGCCGTCGCGTCGGTTCGCCGCCCCACGAATTTCAAGCCACCCATCGCCTGTCCCAACCAGCTCGAAGCGTAGGCCACTATCACTTGCGGACTCCCGGCAAGGACCTCTGAGAACGCAGTCAACCCGAGTTCCATCTGAGCCTTTGATTCGTTCCTCTCGATCCCATGGCGGCATTTCTTCATACCCAAGGTCCGCCGGATTGGCAACACCCGAGACAGAAAGCGGTAGCTTCAGTTCTCAAGACAGTATTGCGTCGCGGCGGAGAATTCACAGCGCAAACTACCCCCGAAAGGAAACCCTGCTTCGGTCTCCATTATCTTCAGAAGTCGAAACCCAGGGCGACCTATCTGTTCTACATGCTAGAAAAGACCCTCCTCGTACCAGGACTATCGTTTCCGAGAGAAGCAGACATTTTTCGCGCCCTTTGGTTTCAGACCCCTCGGATTCAACAATTCACGAGGACCACGATTTGGAAACTTCAGAGAGCCAAGATACTGAATTCAACCCGGATTCCCTTTCGCAGAGTCGCTCCATAGACTCTACTTCGCAATTAACACTCATTGACAATGTACTTGCGCAAGATATGTGTTTGCCCAGTCCGAGTTTATCGCCGGTGGCAGCCATGAACGCCATGCATGCCGAATCCTCCTTTGACTCTGCCGAAGACCCTGAAGATGAAACGGATTCGAGCTTTGAACAAATCGATTCGCAGCTTGCCGATTCGTCTACAAAGGCCCTGAGTGCTCCTCCCGCCCCTGTGGCTGTCGACCCGAACCCTGACAACTTACCCCCGGCAGCTAGGATGCCCGGTGCGTCGTCGTTGATGGATATACCAAATGTTGTGAACTTTTTTGACTCAATGCCGGAAGAAATGAAGACCTATCTCATGTACCAGCTCCTCAAACGCTGTCCCAAGCCGACTCTGCACTTTGTCGCCGATGTTGTGAACCCAGCTTTGAAATGCGACTTCCTCACGCTTCTCCCACCAGAGTTGAGTTTGAACATTGTGAAATATTTCGATGCACAAACTATGTGCCGTGCTTCCCAAGTCTCGAAGAAATGGAGGCACATCATTAATTCGGACGAGAAATCGTGGAAAGAGCTTTTCGATCGGGATGGCTTTTCGCTTCCGGAAGGAGAGTTGCAACGTGCTATTAGGGAGGGCTGGGGCTGGCAGTTTCCTAGCGGGCTAGAAGATTACGAAAAGGACCTCAGCCTCTCAACTTTTAGCAAACTCGATTCAGAGCCTTCTGGTTCTGCTCTATCACCACTTGCCGGACCAAGCGATAGATCGACGTCTGTTAATCGTCGACCGAAGAGGAAAGCGAATACTCGGGTCTCGAGCAGGAAGCTGGCTAAGCGAAAGATCTCATCGAGCGGCACTGATCAATCGGACTCCTCAGATTGGAAAAGGGAAGTGTCAATGACAGAAGGCCCATACGCTGCCGCCAATGCTGCCGCCGCGGCTGTCCCGTATCCAGATATTGGTCTTCCATCCCTTAGGGGCCTTCATTTGTACAAGTCCCTTTATCAGCGGCATTATTCTGTGCGCAAGGGTTGGATGAAACCGGGAGTGAAGCCAAGGCATATTGCGTTCCGTGCCCACGACCGTCATGTAGTCACATGCCTTCAATTCGATACGGACAAAATTCTGACGGGCAGCGACGACACAAATATCAACGTGTATGACACGAAGACAGGCGTTCTAAGGGCAACTCTTGAGGGACACGAGGGTGGTGTGTGGGCACTCGAATATTACGGCAACACTCTAGTTTCTGGATCAACGGACAGATCCGTCCGTGTCTGGGACATTGAAAAGGCACGATGTACTCAAATATTCCACGGCCATACATCAACTGTCCGTTGTCTGCAAATAGTCCTACCCGTCGAGGTCGGGAAGAAAGCAGATGGTACACCTGAGATGATGCCCAAGGAGCCACTGATCATTACAGGCTCACGAGACTCAAACCTACGTGTGTGGAAGCTTCCCAAACCTGGCGACCCAGGCTACTATCAGAGCGGCCCCCATGTGGGCGATGCTGATTGTCCTTATTTTGTCCGTGTGCTCACCGGTCACCAACATTCCGTCCGCGCAATCGCAGCCCATGGCGACACTCTAGTAAGCGGGAGTTATGACTGCACCGTGCGAGTTTGGAAGATTTCGACCGGAGAGACTGTTCACCGGCTGTCAGGCCATTCTCTGAAAGTGTATAGCGTGGTTCTTGATCATAAACGCAACCGTTGTATAAGTGGCTCCATGGACAACATGGTCAAAGTTTGGTCTCTGGAGACTGGCTCGATTTTATACAACTTGGAAGGCCATACGTCGCTTGTTGGTCTCCTGGATCTCAAGTGTGATCGTCTTGTCTCGGCAGCTGCAGACTCGACTCTCCGAATTTGGGACCCTGAGACTGGTCAATGCAAGAGCATGTTGAGTGCCCACACTGGGGCAATTACATGTTTCCAGCATGATGGCCAGAAGGTCATTTCAGGCTCCGACCGAACTCTGAAGATGTGGGATGTACGAACCGGGGAATGTGTTCGGGACCTTCTCACAAACCTCGGAGGAGTGTGGCAAATCAAGTTCAATGACCGTAGATGCGTTGCTGCAGTGCAGCGTGATGGCATGACTTATATCGAGGTGAGCACTCAGTTTCCCTTGATGTTATAGTCTATAGAGTTGACCAATCATAGGTTCTTGATTTCGGGGCTTCACGCGATGGTCTTCCAGAAGATCAACTAGGCAGACGCATCGTCGTCAATCGATCGGGCCAGGAAGTCAGTGATACCGACGAAGATTATGATCTCTCCGATGCATAGTCATATTCACCAAAGCACGAACCGGTTTCTACGCTACAATCCGCTGGTAGGACCCAGATAGAGTTTAAACTCTTCACATCCTACAACATCAAGCATTCATGCCCCATGCCTGATTTCAGAACCCCTATCGCCCTTCTCATATATGACACTTTCTATCCACGCACTATTTACGATACCCATTCTCACGGAAATGTTTACATTGCAAGGCTTTGCATAGCGTGGTTAGCAGCATCTCTCTAGCTGCGGTTCATGATGGACAGGCGTCTTGGTATTAAGAACAATTACATATTATTATCGTGTCTAGCTAGCACTCATGTTTATACCACTTCTGCATTTATCGTGTTTTGCGCCATATGCTCAACTTTCGATGTCATACCTATCTCTTACGCATGCAGGACTTTTGAAATGTGGTCTGAAAGCCACGGCCATGGCAGTTTGTACCTGGCTCTTCTCTCTGTTTCATGCTTAGAGAATTCAGTGGCATAACTATTTACATTCATGTTGAGCGTCGCACGGCGCTTTGGGTATCAATTGTAGACAGATTCATGCTTTGCATTTGCCGATGCGTACCCTTTCTTGTAGTAACCAAACTAAGTTCGCTACGGATGGCGAGATTTTGTACTCCGGGGGTAGGTATCGATGTCGCTAATTCCTCCAGGAGTCAGTCAAGAGTCGTACCGATCTAGAAACCTTAGTTGACGGACGCCTGCCCGTGCTCAGTATCTACTTGCACCAACCAGTAAATAAAGGATGGAGGGAAGGCATGTCCAGCGCAGAATATATCAAGCAGCACCGCCAACCAGTCCCTCGCCGGCCCTCTCCATCCCAGGAGACCCCAACGCCGTCCTAGCCTCAACCAACCCATCCAAGCCCGCAGCAGAGATGATAGCCCAGCGGACGGCGCTGATCCCTAGAAACCGTCCTTCACCAAGCGGCGTGTCCGCGCTACACGTTAATAGTTCTCCTAGGGCACCGGGACCATCAATGCGTGCTGTGCGGGCGTCTGGCTGCACGACTGGTCTGAGTTTCTCGAGAGTAGCACGTAGAGCAGCGAGTTTCGTGGCGGAGGGGACGCTCGTAGGCTTGGATTTCTTCTTCACGAGTAGCTTGTCGACCTTTGAAAGAATGATTTGATGCGGGATCGCGTACTTGCGGAAGAGGCTGAGGATTGCGGCGTCCGTCGGCTTTATGCCGTGTTCGCTGTCGATCAGAAGGAAGGCGCGGCGGAGTCTGGTTGTTGGAACATCATCAGTTAGCTTCGTTCAAACTGGACACAACGGTTCCCCCATAGGCGACCGGTTGAAATTCCAGAGGCGTGTGCGCCACTCACTGCTTCCTACCCTGCAAGTACTTCATAATCTCCGCCCCCCACTCCGTCCGACTGGCCTTCCCGTACCCCGGCATATCAAGCAGGACAATCTTCGACTCGCCGCCCTTCGTCCCGCCAATTCCAAACGCATTCATCTCCCTTGTCCGCCCCGGCTTTGATGACGTCCAGCACATCTCTTGCCCCATGATCGCGTTCAGCAGCGAGCTTTTCCCAACATTCGACCGGCCGAGGAACGCGACTTCCGGCTCCGCCGAGGACAGAGGCGTGGTGCGGAATTTCGCTGCGGACCATAGTTTTATGGGGGAATGACGCGAAGGCGCGAAAAGCTTGTCAGCGTATGCGAGTTGCGGTTCTGTCGGTATTGACGTGTCCCAGTAGTAGGAGATGTGGTTGGGTGTTAGATCGCGGAGCGGAGGGATTTTTTGTACTTGGGTTTGCGATTGAGGCTGAGAAGGTGCAGATGACGCGGTCGTGGTGATTGTTTGGTAGAAAATGCGTGAGTAGAGAGTCTGTCGGCAATTGCGACAAATGTAGGATGATAGATTCATAGTGACAGAGGCCTTGAGAGCTTGATTACTGAGTAACTTAGTAGTTGAAAGTTGCCATGGTCTGGATGCGCCGACTTCCAGACGCGATAGGAAGGTAAGCCGAGATAAGCAAGGGGCGGCCAGGTTCGGCATGTCTTCCGAGATATCCGTGATAAGCTCCGTCGATGATGCGGTGGATTGGGATTAGAGAACATCTTCTGATTTCTGCAGCGCGTTGCTTTCTTGCTACAGATATACCCGTCTGCTTAGCTTCATCTACATACGCCCAAGCCCATACGGACCGAGAAAATTAACCCTTTTAAATCTATATTTAAGATGATCAACGCCGTGCTCGTCTTCAACAACAACGGCCAGCCCCGCCTGACCAAGTTCTACACCCAGATCGTGAGTGCAGCAACAACACTTGATCTGTTTACGAGTTGAAACTTACAAGGTCACTACTCTAGGATACACAAACGAAACAATCCCTCATCGCCCAAATATACGACCTTGTCGCTCAGCGGCCACCAACGGCCTGCAATTTCCTCCCCCTCCCTCCACTGCTCGCCCGCGGCGCCAGTTCCAGCGGAAACACAGGGCCCTCCGATGCGCCAGCCCAGATCACTTACCGCACATATGCGACACTCTCATTCATCATGATTTCCACGTCTACCGAGTCGCCGCTTGCGCTCATCGACCTCATCCAGGTCTTTGTCGAGGCGCTCGATCGCATTTTCGAGAACGTATGCGAGCTGGACCTTATCTTCGGGTTTGAGACGATGCACGCGGTGCTGAGTGAGATGATTGTTGGTGGAGTAGTTGTTGAGACGAACATAGATAAGATTGTTGCCGGAGTGCAGAGCCAGGAGGGGAATCTGGGGAAGAAGAGGGCTATACAGGCGGCCAGTTCTGGGGTGGGGAGGGGTGGATTGTCTGGGCTGGCTGCATGGCGATGAGCTGGTAGGAAACCCCGGCTTGCTGTCCTTCTGCCGTGGATATCTATCCATGATTCACATATGTAGAAGAGGATTTGTAGTTCCAGTTTACGCATCATGGGCGCTTGGGGATTTGATGTTCATATGGCGTTATTAGGATCTCTAATGCAGTTCGAGATAGGTCATATGCGCTTCGTTAGGTATGCTTATAGCAATTCTCGACTAGATCAAATGAGTGTCAGGTGGACTATACGTCCTAATGGCGCTCCTATACTTTACCTAGGCATCATGCACGACCCAATTCGGAAGGAGCGGGCTAGCCCTACAGCACGTGATAGCGCCGGGAACCGGCTCGCTTGTTTTTCCGGACTAGCGCGGCCCACGAAAGCGTTAGCGCCCTTTTCTCTTGAACTCGAAATAGCTGGTGGTTTTCTTCGTTTCTTCTTCTCTCTGTCAATCCCGTCAACCAGCTCAACGCGGATCACAGTCGACAACAATGGTAAGCACATAGCAATTCAGTTTCGAGTCGCGTCCTTCGAATAGAGCTCTCGGTCGGCTTCGCGATATGTCGTGAGACAATTTTCACTTCGTTTCGCAAAGTTTCGAAGCAATTTCCATTGATCGCACAATTCCCTTTGGGATGCGAGCGTCAGTGATGATTTGGCTGGAGGCACAAGTCTAGTCTCACGACTGGCTTGTGTTCTCTCTAGAGTTCAAAGAAGATGCAGCATTGGTGGATGATATGCTGATCTTCTTTTCTCAATGACAGCCTGCCCCCAAGTCCGGAAAGAAGACCGCTCCCCTCCCCTACCCCCAGGGTAAGGCTGGTTCCAGCAAGAAGGGCCCCAAGGTATGTTCATTGATATCGAATGACGGGAGACAAGTGGGTGCTAATTGACCATACAGAACCCTCTCATCGAGAAGCGTTCTCGCAACTTCGGTATTGGCCAGGACATCCAGCCCAAGCGCAACCTCGGCCGCTTCGTCAAGTGGCCCGAGTACGTCCGTCTTCAGCGCCAGAAGAAGATCCTGAACCTCCGCCTCAAGGTTCCTCCTTCCATCGCTCAGTTCCAGTCCACCCTCGACCGCAACACTGCCGCCCAGACCTTCAAGTTCCTCAACAAGTACCGCCCCGAGACCAAGGTCGAGAAGAAGGAGCGTCTTCACGCCGAGGCTACCGCTGTTGCCGACGGCAAGAAGAAGGAGGATGTCAGCAAGAAGCCTTACAACGTCAAGTACGGTCTCAACCACGTTGTTGGTCTCGTTGAGAACAAGAAGGCCTCTCTTGTCCTGATTGCCCACGACGTCGACCCCATTGAGCTGGTTGTCTTCCTTCCCGCTCTCTGCCGCAAGATGGGTGTCCCTTACGCCATCGTCAAGGGTAAGGCCCGTCTCGGTACCGTTGTCCACAAGAAGGTTAGTCATGCTCTCTCGATTTTGCTTTTTGCCATTGCTAACTCTACTCCTAGACCTCTGCTGTCCTTGCTCTGACTGAGGTCCGCTCCGAGGACAAGGCTGAGTTCTCCAAGCTGCTCAGCGCCATCAAGGAGGGTTACACCGACAAGACCGAGGAGTCCCGCCGCCACTGGGGTGGTGGTATCATGGGTGCTAAGGCCGTTGCCCGCCAGGAGAAGAAGCGCCGCGTCGCCGAGGCCGCCATCCGTGTCTAAGCGTCTCTTCCACGATAATGACTTCGAAAAAGGCTTGTTAAAATTCTACAAAAGTGAATCCGATACCTGGTCCGCCCTACGTCCTTTCCTCTTTTAGTTGCGTCGCAGATACCCATGAATGCATTTAAGACCTCATCATGTTGGACCCCCTGTAAGCACTCCCACGACTAGCATTCATGAGTTTCTCTGCCGCGCTGTAGCGATACATGTATTGTGTAGATACCGCTTCTGGCCCCCTGCCTTTGCCCTAGTCTATCCTTTCCAATGACCCATGCACTCTATGGAGTATGTATTAACTGCCTAGTGGTCGCGCGATATCTATTTACTTTTCCTATCACGACCTATTTGATGAAATGCACATCTTGCTTTTTGCAACCAGTTCAACTACGGAGTATTACTAGATGACATCCACTCTCTTATAGTAAGAGAAACAACGCGCACCACGCACCATTGGTACGTGAACCGCAGCACAAGAACATAAACACAATCATCTACATCGAAGAACAATCAGTTAATCAATATCAGCGCCTGCCCGAGTGAGGGAAAAGCTAAAGTAGCCCCGTAATAGTTCTCAGGCCTGATGGATCATGAAGAAAACGAACTGAAACCCCAACCCACATGCAAACCAGACGAAGATGCAGGAGAGTGGTTCAGTCATCCTATTAAACACCCAGTTTTGAGACCTGCAACAAAAAAAATAGGCAAGAAGAGGACAGAAGTTAAAACCCATATTGGCCCGGGAATTGATACAATCTAGCCAGAAGAAAAGGCGAAGATGAAGATCCGGGAAAGACAAGCACACCCCTGAAGTTAACCGTACAAAGAACATATGTCGCTAGAAATAATGGGCAAGAAAAACATCGCGGAGAATCTTAAGAACGAAGCGCATGCAGTCACTAGCGTTGGGCCGGTTGCCGTCCAATGAGTCCTTGTTTGACCTATAATGATGGTTAGTGGCTTCTCCAAATATCCTAGGGTATGGATAAGCGCACCTTCATTTGTTCGATCCGAGCCTTCAGTTGACTCGTGACTTCAGCGGCTCTCCTCCAGTTCTCTGCCGGCTCCGTACTTCGTGTCAGCTGTTCTTCGCCTGAGGCACTGCCTGATCCGACCATCGATGACCTTGTAGGGCTAGCCATGCCAGAGTAAGCATTTCCAAAAGTAGGGCTGAACTTTCGGCGACCAAGTCCTGGCGATTCCAGGCCATTTTCCTTTTCCTCGCTCGGGCTGGCTGAGGCATAGCTTCGTGGCCGTGTACTTTCGAATCGGGGGCCCATATGGAGACCGCTTCGCGCCATGGCAGAATGGCCATTATTGACCGGGTCTTGGTATAAGGAGCTTGGATCAGGTATCGTCATGCCGAACTGGTCAGGAATAGTGGTTGGAGAGTTCATCGCCCCAGAGCGAAGGGCTCTGGATAGCTCACGTTTCAGGCGCTCAATCTCCCTTTTTTGCTTCTGTACATTTTGGTCGGCGGCCTCCGCGTCACTTCGTGCCCGGGTAAGCTGGGTTTCTTTAGCCTTAATACTCAGAACGTCTCTTGTATGGTCTTCGATGAGCTGCGCATTCTGATTTTGGAGTTCTCCTATCGTAGTGCTCAACTTCGCTTTCTCGGACTTCAATTCTTCGTTAATGCGGCTAAGTCGTTCTTTTTCGAGTCGAAGTTCCTCAAGCTCTGCCCGTTCTATAGCAGTTATCCCACTCACAGCGGGAGCCACTGGTGCTGGCGCTGGCTCGGCTGGAGCTGGTGGTCTCGCAATTGGACGGCCTGCTAGCCCTCTTCCGAGGCCAAACTTTGAAACTGGGGGTGGTTGTGGCTGCTCCTCTGAGGGTGGTGAAATAACTCGTCTCTGGGGTGACGCTAAACCTCCTGGTCCACCCAGCTTCTTCTTCAATGCACCGCCTGGAGTTGGAAGGGTACGCTTCGAGGGGATAGCTTTCGTTGCAGGTTTCGCCGGAGAAGGGGCAGGGGCAGGTTCCTCCAAGGGTGGTGCAGGCGCTGGGGCAGGCTTTTTCAGTCCCAATGGCTTCTTAGTCCCAACGGGCTTTTTCGCCGAGGGTGGAGCTGCCTTTGGTGCCCCAACGATAGGCTTTGGTCGATCCTTGGCCTTGACTTCTGCTGTCTCGAAGTATTCTTTGATCTTATTCTTTCGAATATCGTCCAGTCCGTCGAGGAAAGGGGTCATCGCTCGTTCACCCATAATCTTCATTAGAGTACCCAGGATCTCCGCACCTCCTGCACGATTGACTTCGCTTGAATCGGTAAGGAGTTTGGTAGCAGCTTCGGCTATTGATTTGGTTTCTGGCTTGGAGGGTACCTCGCGAGTGGTACGAAGGCAGCGAATCAAGAACTTGACAGTTTCTTGCTTTACCTGGGGGTTCTTGTGCTTGACAAACTCCAAGATTTCTTCCAGACAATCTGCCAGGCTAGTAGCAATAAACACGGCATCTAGAGCTTGCCCTAAAGCATCCGCAACCGTCTGCTTCTTCTCCTTCAACCGCTCCATAATCGGCGACATGACCGTAGGACGATGTTTGACAAACGCGCTGCGAGTACCTTTGGCGAGAAGATCAATGCAATTAGCTGCAACGGTCACAACCGCGACGTTAGCATCCTTCATGCACTTCGCCAGGCCCCGCGCAATCTCGTCAAATGGGCCGTCCTTGATTTTCGGCACATTCAGTACCGAATACAAAGCGTCCAAGGCTTCCTTCCTATCCTTCCATTTCGATGACCCCAACTTTTCGGAAAAATCTTTGGGAATTTTGGGAAATACGTCGATAGGCTCGGCGAGATCAAAGGCATCAACCTCGCCCCCATCGTCTTCCCCGTAATCGTCCTCCCCACCGGCTTCGCCGGCCTCACTACCTCCGCCAATACCCGCGTCGGCTTCAGCTTGCTGAACTCGGGTCAGTCTCTCTTGCTTAGGAGGTGGCTCTTGTTTCACCGCCTCGAACAATTTCTCCAGGTCTTGTTGTTGGACCGGCTTCAATTCTGCCCAAAAAACGGGCTTCATCGCTTCTTTGAGCCATCGGTACAGTTCTACTGTGAGGTTCTGTGCTTCCGCGCGGACGTTTTTATCAGCGTGCCCGAAAACCTTGGGTAAAGCCTTCAGCACCGGCTTAGGATCGACAACTTTGCAACCGAAATTATGATAAATGGCGGTCAATCCGGTCAGTGTAGCGGCGATGACCTTGGGCACTTTGTGTGATAGAACGGGAAGGATATCTTCGATAACGGGTTCGGGTTTGTCTAATTCAACGCACAGGAGCAACGCTTCAAGCGCGCTAGCTTTTGCCGCGGGTCTGGTTTGTGGTAAACCTTTTTCGGCGATACCGGGAATTGTAGCTCCGCGCGTCCTTTAATCGTGTCAGTCAGCTTCCCGCGTGCAAGGGCAACAGTTATGACAGTCGAGACGGGTAATAAGTACCTCGCGCAACCGGTAGGGCCGCCAAATTGCAGAAAGGCGCAGTATGCCGCTAGACCTTCTTGTTGTGCAGCAACGTTGGAGTCTGTAACTGCGCCTTTCCATAAACTGGCGTCTTGGAATTGTGCGAAAATTGGATCCGATTCGTCGCCCGTTTTCTCGAATAGTTGTTTGGCATCTTCGTATCCTTCTTTTCGAACCTTCCAGTTCTGCAGCACCACAACTCATTAGTCCATGGAATCAAAGGGACAATCAATGCACAGATTGCCAGGAAGCGAGCGAACCTTGTGTGTGAAGCGGTCGGAAAAAGGTAAAGAGGAGAAGTCTTCCTCTCCCTCAGGCATTGTGATAGGAGATGGTTTACTGGAGAACACAGTGCGCGATTAGCAAGCCGCGGGCTTGTGGCGACGGTCGGTGGAAAAACGCGAGAGGGGGATGACTGCCGCCGAGAAAGTGGACCAGGGATCGAGCTTGGACAAAAGTTCTGGGAATAAGAGATCTTTCCGGTGACGAGCGGGGGATGCGCTCTCGTGGAGGAAACGAACTTTGGTCTTGCAGGCTATTGCAGATCTGGGCAAGCGGGCGCAGTGCGGATGGGTTGCCCACACAACAGCATCAAACTGGAGGGGCGAACGAGAGATTTGGTCTGGGACTGGATTCCGGGATGGATTTGCGAAGATCCCGAACGACGATGGGTATGGGTTATCGAGTGGTTTGACAGAGGCGCGGGGAGAAAGATCATGAAGAGACGGAGATGGCCACTGCGGTTCCTGAGTAAACAAAATGGCTGCTTGGGCGACCCAAAAGTTGGGGCTTGGCACTCTTCAGGTAGGTATACTGCCCAACTAGGACGACTGAGGACTAAAGTCTTTTCCCTCTTTCTTGACATTATATTTGCGAAGTGCTTTGAACACCATATCAATCATAGCACGATGATGGCCGATTCTTGTCGGTTTGCTTGGGAGACTTGCAAAAGTGCAGCCATTGTGTCTAACTGATCTTGTGTTTTGAAGAATATACTAGCGAAGGCCGCGGCGCGCAGCGCCGCGGTTAGAGGTAGTAAATTATTTTTCTTAGTAATTTAATATTAATAAATTATTAAAAGGCAAGCTAGTTCCTATTAGTATTATAGCTTGTTTTTTATAATATTAAAGGGGATTAATTTAATTTAGGGGTATAGCTATTTTTATATAGGGGGATATTAAACTTAATTATATATTAAAATACCTTTATCCCGCGCGGTTAATAGTATATAAAGTAATTAAGGTATAATATTATTATTTAATTAAAAAAATACCCTGGTTAGTTTTAGTGCTATAATTCCTAGTAGTTTATTAAGTAAAAAAGCTTTAAAAAATAATAATTTTTTATAAAAAAGCTAGAAAACCTATTAATAATACTAGTAATTAAATTTTAAAACTAGTATAGTTTTTTAAAAAATATTTAAAAAAAATATTTTTTAAGCCCCTGTTAAAATTTATAGTAAGCTTTTAAATATTTAAAGGGTTTTAGGGGTTTAAGGGTTTTAAGGGTAAGAATTTTAAAAATAATTTATTTATAATTAATAATAAGCTTATTTATTATAAATATAATAAATTTTTTTTTAAATTTTTAATAATAATAAAAAACATACTTATATTAAATAAAAAGTTTTATTAACTTTTTAATATACTAGGGGCTTAAAAGGGTTTTTTACTAAATAAAATTATAATTAAATAATTTAAAAATATAATTATTTTTATATAAGAAAATATTAAACTTTAGGGAAAAATATAATACTATACTAGGTATAATTTAAATATTTTAATATACTATAGCATGGGGAAATAATTATAAAATTTAATTTAGTTATAGCTATTAATTTTTAAGTTAAAACTACTTAAGTAGGCTAACTAGGGTAAGTATAAAATATAATATTAAAAAGGCTATTTATAGCCCAGGGTGCCATAGGTAGTACTTATTTATATTATATTTTTTAAATATATTATTAAAAAAGTAATAACTATATAAAGTTATAATTTTTATTACTTTAATATATAAAAAAAGTAATAGGCAGGGTATATTTATAAAAAGTATTAATTTATTAAATTTTAAGGGGCTAGCCCCTGGGCTAAAAGTATTTATTTAATAATAATATAAATTTAGGGGCTGGCTTTAAGCTAAATATTAAATATTAATTAAAACCAGGCTATATAATCTATTTAAATTATTATTTTTTAATAATAATAGTTAAGGTAATACTTATTATAAAAAAAAGCAAGGCCCCTAACTAAAGGTTATAAATAACTATTTTTTAGTAAGTAAGTTTTTTATTATTAAACTTTATTATAGGATACTAATAGCCTATATTTAGTTACTTGCTTAGTTTACCTGCTTAGTTTACCTACTTAATTTACCTACTTAGTTTACCCGCTTATGGCCCTCCAGCCTTATTTTATAGGCTATATTTTTTTTTATTTTATATAGCTTTATAGCTAATTAGTTTTTTAAAAATTAAAAAGTTACCAGGAATTAAAGGTATATTAAGAATTAAAAAAAACTAGGGGTTATTTATAAATTAATTAAATAAAAAATAAATATACTTATACTAAATAAAAAGTTTTATTAAGTTTTTAGTATACCCAGGGGCTTAAAGGGGTTTTTATAATTACTTATAATATTAATAATATATTTACTAGTATTAAGGGTGGTTTCTAAAGTCCTAACTTAAATATTTAGCCTTAAGTATTTAGGGTGGTTTTTAAAGTTTTAACTTAAATATTTAGCCTTAAGTATTTTAGTGGTAAAGGCATTTAAAAAATAATTATTTATAAATAATATTAATAAAGTAGGGCCCTTGCTAGATATAGTAATAAATAAATTTAATAATTAAAAAAAACTACCTTATAAACCTTACTTATAATACTTACTTTTAGTACCTATTATTTATAGGCTAGTAAAATTTATACCTAAAATATTAAGTATTAGCATGTTTAGAAAAGTATTTTACTTTTTTTTATATTTAACTAGTTATTATATAAGCTAATAAGCTTTAATTATTAAGGTTAGCTTTTAATAAGGTAAATAGCTTATTATTATAAAATAAACCTATAATATAAAGTTTTTTTTAAAATAAAAAAATAATATAATATTTTTAAAAGTAGCTATTTTTTAGGGCATAGCTCTTGCATATATTATATTAATAAGCTTATTAAATTTATTATACTTTAGTATTATACTTTTATACTAGTATTTTAAGATATAAAATACCTAGGGTTTATAAGGTTATTTATTTTAAAAAATATACTAGCTAAAGTTTATAATATATTAATAGTTAATAATATTATTAAAATAGCTAGCTAGCTTTAAAACTACTTATATAATTTAGCTTTAATATTTTTTATAATTAAATTTAGCTTTAATACTTTTAGTTATAATATTAAGGTAAGTTAGGCTATTAAAATTAAGTTAAATAAGGCTTATTATTTTTATTTTATAATATACATAAAAATACTAAGGTTTAAAAGCCATGTTTATTAAAATAATAAATATATACTATTTCCGCGTGTTATAAAAAAAAATAGTAAGTTAAATTTTTTTAGTTAGGGGCTTATTTTTAATAAATATATTAATTTAATAATCACTAGTATTATATTTAACTAAAAATATATTTTTTATTTAATAGTTTTTAAATTACTAGAATAAGGCTTTAAAGCCTAAAACCTTTTAAATTTATTATATTAAAGCTTTTTTTTAAGTATTACGCCTTTAGGCATGCCTTTAGGTATTAAGGGTTAACTTAGGGCTAAATTAAAAAGGGTTATTAAAATAATAATACTTTATTATTAGTTATATATTAATTAACCAAAGTTATTATAATAAAAATTTCTAGCTTATAAAAAATATATATTATATTTAAATACCTATTTTAAGTAATTATAGGCTATAAGAATTTAACCTAAAAGGTATTATAAGGTTAAATAAGTAATTTTATTTTAACTTAAACTTTAGGGAGTAATATATTATTTATTTTATATAAAAAGGTAATAAATAATAAAAGGTTTTATTAATATTTTAAGTTATACCCTTATATACCCCCCTTATATAATAATAAAGGCATAGGTAGTATATTATAGTAATATAAAGTAATAATAAGTAATAATTTTTAAGTAGCTACTATACCCTAGGTTAGCTAAAAAAATAGTAATTAATAGTATTTTATAAGCGCAAAGGCATGTTATTAATAATAGTTAATAATACTAATATACCAACACCTAGGAATAAGCTAATATACTAATACTTAAAAATATTTTATTTTTTTAGTTAGTAAGGTTTAGGGTGGCCTTATTATATAAAAAACTAATTAATTTTATTAAAATATATTATACTAGTTTAACTAGTTTAAACTAGTTAGTTTATTTAAGTATAATAAATAATTAATAAATTTAAACTTAATAAATTTAAATGCCTATTATCTTTTTTTTTAGTGCTAAACATAAATTATAAACCTAAGAACTTTAATAAACTAAAAACTATTAATAAATTAAAAATAGCTAATAAACCTAGATTTAAATATTTAATTTTTTTTTACTATACTTTGTATTACTATAAGTATTTTAATTTTCTTAGTTAGCAGGCCCCCTATTAAGTTACTAGTATACCCAAGGGCTTAAAGGGGGGTAAATAACTAAGATTATTAGTATAATCAAGGGCTTAGGGCTTAGTGGGCAAACTTAGTAAGTAAATTAAAGGTAAACTAAAAATAAAATAAAGGTAAAACAGGGGTAAACTTAATAAATAAACATAGTTTATTATAAAATATACTAAAAATATATTTAATAAAAAAAAAGGCAGGTACCTAGCATATATTAAAGCACTAGTTATTAAAATAACTAAATTTACTAGTTAAAAAAGGGCTTGGTATTAAATTAAGTATAAAAGTAATAAGTAATTATTAATTTTAAACCTTAAAATAATACTTAATTACTAACCTTATATTATAAAAAAATTATAAATATAATACTAATAATAAAGTATAACTATTTAATTAAGTATATAATTACTTTTTTAATACCCCTTTTTATAGCCCTAAAAGTTTTTAAGGGGGTAATTTTTATAAAAAAGTTAGTAATACTTAAAAAAAGTAATTATATATAAAGTAAGCGCCCCTAATATTAATTAATAAATATAAAGTTATTATTATTATTAAAACTAAAAAAAAAATAAAAAAGCATAAAAACTAAATTACTTTTTATTTTTTTTATACTTAAGCTTATAAGCCCTTAAGTCCTTATATTTTTATTTTTTTAACTTTTTATTTTTATTTTTTAAGGCCTTTTTATATTTTATTAAAAAGCGCGGTGGT